AGGGTACAAATAACAAACGAGCGCTAGAACACGTAAATGTTGCTCCCACATGACCAAATCTTGCAAAATGGCGTCATGATGCAGTGTAAACTTCTGGGATGCTGAACCAAAGCTCGCTTGCTTGCGACTGATTTGTTAGGTTATTTAGGACGCTGTAAGGTATGATGGTTTCTCCGATTTTGATCTCCAGAACCTTTCAGACCTTCAGGTCAGGCATCTAAACGTCCCAGAACTTGACAGATCTTGGAGGAAAATATCGTGTCAGTAACCCCTTGAAGAACACTATTGGTGCGCAACAGAGTTCAGTTTTTAAGGGATGCCACGCGAATACACATTTTGCAGCACCTTAGCGGCAGCTAATGAAGGAACAGGTGACTCGGGAACAACAGGAGTCTGGTAATTGCTACATCTATGGTCCTCGGCGGCGATGAACAGTTTCGCGTCGCGTCGATTAAAAAAAAAAGCAAAGCACCGAACGCGACTATTAGAAGCAACCAGGCAATCGTGGACTTTGTACTTGGCAGCGGTTTATTTAAGGGGGAAAATCGCACAGGGTTAAAACAAGAACCGGAGCCGCTAGGTGTGTAAAGTATAGGCGTCACAATGGCATGAGCAAAGAGAGCAACCGTGGTCGGGATCATGGTATACACGCATTTTAAAACAACCGAAAATTTTGGCCCCACGCGATTGGTCGAGGCTCGTGCACACGTCACAAGTTGGTTACGTAAGCACGAGCCTCGACCAATCGCAAGCGACAAAATTGCCCGCTCGTTTGTGGAACTTGTACAAGCATACGGCCCACGCTTGCATACGTCACAAGTTGGTTACGTAAGCACGAGCCTCGACCAATCGCAAGCGACAAAATTGTCCGCTCGTTCGTGGAACTTGTACAAGCATACGGCCCACGCTTGCATACGTCACAAGTTGGTTACGTAAGCACGAGCTTCGACCAATCGCATGCGACAAAATCGTCCGCTCGTTTGTGGAGCTAGCATATACGACCCACGCTTCCGAAGAGTCGAACCTGGCGTTTGGCTGAAGTGTCCTGCTATACGAGAAAGCGTATGCGCAAGGAAAACGTGTTTGGCACAATAAGGCAGTTAAATTGGCTATCCTCAATGCATGTCTACAAAGGGTTGTTTCGGAGTTAGGCGCGCCGATAAGTATTGAAGGTAACCATTCGGAGGAAGGCATCAAAGTATAGGCAGCGCCGTGACGTGACGTAAAAGGCCTTCGCAGTGTCCAGCCTCCTCTCATGTCCACTCTGCGCATCTCTTTATCCCTTCGGAGTGATGTGTGCTTGTTGGGTCTTAAAACAAGCACCGTGGTAGAGAAAACAAACGAGGACAGGGCGTTCTGCCAACACGACTGGTGGCACCGACACCCGCTAAAAGAAGAAAAACGATATGGATCTGACAAAGAGATTACTGCACCGAAGCTTTAGTTATTTGGGAACTGCGGGCAAAACTGTCGCCGCCCCGCTGAGCAAGCATACGTGCGCCGAACAAACACCACCGTGAACCGAACGTATACCGTTTTCATTCCTCGTCTTTCATTGCTCTTCCACCTCTTTCTCCTTAAGCTTTTTACGCCAGTTGTGAAAATCTGACTAGAAGTAGCAGGCTATAAATGGCCTGGTATGAGTATTAGGCTAGGAGTAGCCGAGAAGTAGTGGTATTAGGCTATTAGTAGCCGGGCAAGAACATCAGTCCAGGGTCAGCTGGGTAGGAGTATCGGGATAGGAGTAGCCGTGCGGATGTATCACGCAAGTAGAAGCCAGGTAGGAGGATAAGGCTGGCACTAGCACGCTATGATTAGCTGGGTAGGAAAATCAGTCAGGATATGGAAAGAAACGTAGGAGTATCCTGAAAGGATTATCAGGTCAGGAGTAGATGGGTGTAACTATCAGGTAAATGGTAGCCGGTAGTGGTATCACGCAATCAGTAGCCGGTTAGTAGTATCATGCTAGCAGTAGCCATGTAGGAGTACCGAGCTAGCAGTAAAATTAGGAGTAGCAATCAGCAGGTCCTCGTACTGAACTTATCCTCCGTTCCTGCAATTAAAAGTCTCTCTCCTGTCCTGGTCACGTGTTGGACTTCGAGATAATAAGTGCCGGGAGGTTATGGAAATTTACCGCTTCCGTATGACGTGGTGGCGAAGGCATTTTTTTCCCGACGCGCCTTCTTCTGACGGTCACACGCTTAACTCACCTCCGTACGAGTGCAGCCTTTCTTCCACACGTCCCAAACTCTGCAGCATAGTGTTTTCATTCACGCACCAGCCTGTACCGCTCACGCACGTCGTAACAACGTTCGACGGGAAACGAACCCGACTCGACGCGACAAACATCTATATACCCAGCGAATCGACCTATATATGCGCTGCATTACAGGAATGATAACACCAAATGACGCGAGTGATAACCACATCGCGTTTACGAACAGGCAGCTCGACTGCAGTCCGGCTAATACGTAATCTGATCTGTCGGCCATACGCTCGCGCATGGTAATAGTTTGTCACTGTGGTAATAGTTTATCACTGTCGACGACTACACGAGAGCGTATTTCGCGCGTATCTCACGCAACTGCCACACTGCTTACGTTCCTCGGTGAACGCTGTTACTGGCACCGGAAACAAAATCGGCGCGATGTCATCATCATCATTATCATCATCATCAGCCTGACTACGTCCACTGCAGGACAAAGGCCTCTCCCATGTTCCGCCAGTTAACCCGGTCCTGCACGTGCTTGCTGCTGCCAATTTATACCCCCAAACTTCTTAATCTCATCTGCCCATCTAACCTTCTGTAGTTACGATGTAGTTACCGATTAACCAGCTACTGCACCAAGCTAATCTCAACCGCGATTTCTCCGATGACTCGCGAGGCACAACGATACGCACGCAGCTTTAGAGGCGCGTGAAATACGCCCGAAATACGCTCCATGTGGTCGTCGCCCTCAAGGACCCACGTGAAAAGCGCTTTCACACTCCGCAACGCCTCTTTCCTTGGCACTCATTGACGACAACAGTTGATGTAAGATCGCGACTTTGAATGCGCTTCGATCGTCACACCCTTCAAGGCACTTTCCATGTTCGTGTGGCTAGCCTTTGTACAGGTTCGAAGCAATATCATCGCTCATACCATTTAACGCGGTTCAAGCACCCATAGCTCTGTCCAGATAATTACATTCGTCCTTGGAACATTGGCCTTAAGGACTGTGCTTAACTATAGTACATAATCCTCGCACCATGACTAACACTTGCTCCCTATCAAGCCAGGAGCGTCCCCGTTTCGATCAAGCACTGAAAAAGGGCGTGTTGAGATCTTATTCGCTTTGGGCAAGTAGGCTGTAGCAATTTTTGTTTTTGTTTTTAAGGAACGATTTGGCGTTCTAGATATTTTTTTGGTATTTGCAAGATGTATGTTCAGTCCTTGAGCCCCGCATGCACGGACGATCTCGTCTACATCTCATGATTTGCCGCAATAACCTGCGTGCCTACAGTTGTAATTTGAACGTTTCAATAACGCCGACAAGAATTCCGATTTTTCCCTTCTCTTCTGCTTCGGATTAACTTCAAGTAGTTCGCCTTCGAAGATTAGCGACAAAACTACGTCATCATTGTCGTTATTAGCGAATTCTAAGTACAGCGTCCATATAGCGTTCATCACAACGTTGCATATGCAAGAGCGCCACGTATCGCGTAGTGTGCATGAGCAAAAGTTCTGCGCATGCTCTCTATGCGTAACGCTGGGTTCTTTTACGTACGAACGGTACGTACGAAGTACTGAACTCGCTTTATGGCGACTATCTTCGCTACGTCGTCACCGGGGTTGTGTACCAATACTCACTGTAGACGGCTAAATAGACAGCTAAATGGACGGCGGCCATCTTAAGTCCCATTCCGATTCTCACGTAGCCGGCAAAATAGACGGCTCCGAGAAGACCACGTCGTAGACAAATACGATGCAGGCTACTTTGCTGTCTAAACAAGATGGCGGCTCAGCGTATCGCTTCAGATCGGATATCGCCGGAATAGTCTTCTGCACACAAGCCGACGCTTTCCCAGACGCTCGATGTGAGTAACGTTTATTTGTTTTTGATTTCAACACGAAATAAGCGAGAAAGTATAACTGTTACGTTTGTTTACTTTAGCTTTTTCTTCTCGACGCAAGGTGGCGCGTCGTCGCGTAAAAACCGTCCAGAAGTGTTCCGATTCTCAGACAGCATGGGCTCGGTGCTGTCTTCCAAGCAGTCTGCGTAGACTGTCAACGTGCTGTCTGAGAATTGGAACACAGCCCAAGTCGTCTGCTTTTACGTCATTCGAAGATCGCAACATAATCGCAGCTCAGCAATGACCTCTACCGGCTTCATTAATGCTTATAGCACCTTCACTTCTTAGCTGCGCTATTATCTTTTTTGTCCGTCGTGTCTGAAAACAACGGCAATAGATGACAACGTACTTAGGGTCAAAGTTTGCCGCCAGTTATATAACTACATACAAGCCCACTGTCTTCGTATTATACGACCTTTCCAGAACACCGGCGATGCAGCACAAAACATTTGCATATCCTCCTAACACACACTTCCGAACCACAGCACCTGTGGGGCGTCGCACACTACATGCAACTTATGAGAAAACCAACAATGTGCAATATCTATTTCAAACATCGCTAGCCTTGCTAAATAGTGTTCCACTTCAACGCTTTGAGCACACTATACGGGCACCACAGGTAAAAAATCGTAATGACAGTCATTATGCTTAATCGTCCCAATTCTTTAAAAACGAAACAACAAAATAGAGAAGGAACAGTCTCGAGCTGAGATCATTATATCACCGCGAAGTGGCTTATAACCCCTCCAAAACAATGAACGTCACTGCTAATCTCTAGAACGGCCTCTTATCTGGCTACATCATAAAGTCCGCCGTGATATGACGGGTAAATCTTGTGATGCTGTGTCCTGCTGAACTCCTCCCCCCCCCCCACCCCCCAGCATCAGAGAGTACCCGATACACAGGTGGCATTACGTCAGTCCTCTTGAATGCGAGATATTCCCGGGCAGAAGGAACGTGAGACGACAAACCTGACCAGGATATAATTTGGAGGTCGAATAACTCTCTCAGGACCGGTTCTGAAGGAAACCAAGAGTCTGCCTTAGACAAGACCTCCAGACAATACCTCGGCCCAACGGAGTAACATTTACGGCAGGTAAATGCTTGGGTTCTGGATCAACAGTAGTCGCCGAAGACGAACGCTTCCCTTCTTGACAAGATGCCTTCCGGAGGAGGAACCCGAGAGATGAATTTTTCTGAACCGACGTGAGTGCCAGGAACGACTCTTGCCAACAGTCAGACCCAGGAAGCCTTGGCCCTGCACAAGGAGCTGTAGTCCTCGGTAGAATATCAGCCCATGATCCCGAGAGGAGACCACAGCTCTGTGGGCAGGGATATGTCCTGGACAAGGACATGCCTGGTGTAAAAGCTGTATTTTGCAAGAATACCGATCCTACTGAGTTGGTGGCCAAAAACTACCGAGACCTTTAAGCCGAGGAGAAGAAGAACGGGGGCTGGCGTCGCCTACACGGCCGGGTGTCCTGTCCTAACAGTGATTCGCCGGGCAGCTCCGCGACTGTGGCCGCGCTTTCCGGTGGTCACCGCCAGACGGAGGCACCAGATTTTTTTTTTCAGTCTTGGTGTTCGTGCGCCGCGGCAACCGCCGCCGCCGCAACTTGGGCAACCTGGCCCGATCTGAAGAGGTACCGGTACACAGCGTGGTAGTGAACCAGGGTGGCCGCGTTCACGAACAGATGCCAGATGGCGTGCGCGAACGGCACTCTGCCGTCGGACTTGAAGAACACCACGCCTATGAAGTAAAGTAGGCCACCGAACAGCAGCTCCTTGAGGCCCGTCAGAGGTCGCTGCGAACGAGAACACAGGAAAGGAGGGCGGAGGAGAGGTGAAAACGTACTCGTAATAAAGGATCGTTGAAAGACACTGTTTGAAAGGTAAATGAACCACTCTTCCAAGTAATCAAGAAGCCTCACCCCCGCATTCTAGAACGTCCCTTCACTCAACGCTTCGCCTTTACTTGAGAAAGCCGATGGGAGCGTCGTCTCTAGGCACGGCAAGTCACTGCATATCAGTAATAATCTGCTGCGATTCTTGAGTAGCGGTGACGCAGTACTCAATTCTGTCAAGTGAAGGGTGGAAGTCGAGTCGAGGAGCGTTTGTGAATACGGGGGTCAGTATCGGAGTTGACTGTCTCAAAGATTGATTGCCGCGAAAATTTCTCGGATCCGTAAAGAATGAGCCGAGTTACAAGGACTTCTCGGGAGCTTTAAGCGCCTTTTCTCTTCTCTCGTACAGAAGAAAACGCTGAAAGCTGCACAGGGAAAGACTGCACTCGGGGGAAATATGTTGGGTCAGCGTACGCAATTACCTCGAGCGCGCGTTATGAAACGTGATCACTCTCTGCCGTTGTGATTTCTGTGCGTGAAATTGGCTCCCTTTGTAATGTTAGCAGAGCATGGAGCGCGGCGGCAGGCGTGCCAAGACCTAGCGACCAGAAGCGCATCCGATTCAAATGTTGCTCTCGTGCTATGCCGGACATTGGTCAGTAACGTGCCGTCTGCTGTTCGACGTCACACAGCAGGCGTTGACAGCTCCCAAGAGAGGGAGCACACGCACATCAATGGAATGAGGGCGCCTGAGAAAATGGCAGCTTTGCGCTCCGCTTGTAATTTCTAACTGCCGCGCAGGACTGCAGAATTAGACTGAGATGTTCATATCGTGGTTTTGGGACATTAAACACCAACCATTATTATTTTAACAGTGCCTGCTACTCGCAGGATTCGTTTTTCTCACTAAGCCCACGGGGTGGACCATGACAGCTTTAACATTTAGAACTACTAGGGGGTTCGTAAAGCGTTGTTATATTGCATTCGTAAAGTTAGTTGAAGAAACGGACACTAATATCTGGTAAGAAAACATAATATTCATTGATAATTACCAATTCTAATTTACTTTGCAAGTTGGTCACACTCGGACCGATATCTAAATTGTTGTACTAAATTTTCGTAAAGCGTTGTTATATTGCATTCGTAGAGTTAGTCGAAGAAACGGACACTAATATCTGGTAATAAAACATAATATTCATTGCTAATTAACAATTCTAATTAATTTACTTTGCAAGTTGGTCACACTCGGACCGATATCGAAATTGTTGTACTAAATTTTCGTAAAGCGTTGTTATATTGCATTCGTAAAGTTAGTTGAAGAAACGGACACTATTATCTGGTAAGAAAACATAATATTCATTGCTAATTAACAATTCTAATAAATTTACTTTGCAAGTTGGTCACACTTGGACCGATATCGCATTTGTTGTACTAAATTTTGGTGGCAATGAAACACCGGTGCGTTGAGAGGTATGCAATTGAAGGACATACTTCCTCGAGAGAAGCACCGAAATGCGATGTCGTTCGAGTTCACACTATGGAAGAAAGCACAGCGCTAAGTGCAATGCTCGCTCATATATAGGCGAACGAGGTAAGGCCCTTCCACCAAAAGATCACTTTGGTATCTGTCTCAACTACGAAACGGAAGCCCAGTCGAAAAACTGAGCCGTGATAAAATCGACCCGTTCATGGATTTAACATTTAAGTCACGTCTAATTTATAGCAGTCCATCAGCCCGTTTTTACAATCTCTACCAGCCAACTTATCCATCTTTGGTTGAATACACCTACACACCGACCCACAGGCGTTTATCTGTCCATTCATAAGTAATAAAACACTCCCTCCTATGCAATTAAGACACCTATGCATTCATATAGCCACCCATACACCTATTTATTGATCACTTGGTACATCCATTCATCTATACAGCCACCATACATCATTCATTCATTCATTCATTCATTCATTCATTCAAATAAACCATAAATTGATCAGTTATTACATCTCATACCTTGCATTCAGTGCATATATAGGCATCAAATATTCACATTATCAATCAATTACATTATGCCACATCATTCAGCTACCGACCGCCAATCACCCAAACACGCATGAAATAAACCTCCCAACATCGTATTGAAATCAATCAATCAGTCAATCCATTTTCTCTTCCCATATGATTGCCCCGGCAACCCCTCTTGACCAGTTTATTCGTGTTACCATTCATCCATCCGTCAATCGAAATCAATCAATTGTTTAACTCATTTGCAAGTATAGCTACGCGTATCCAGTGCATTCGCAATAGAAAAAGAACCGTATTCTGAAAGGCTGTCCTCACCATCGAAAATGTAGCGGAAGCGGGGAAGACGGCCGAGCCTATGTAGATCAGCACCTCGAGAGTTTTGTACCTGTTGGGAGGACAGAGAGAGAAAGATGCACCACACATGTATCGAGCTTCGATGGGACTTCAGACGCTGTGACCTGCTTTCTTTTTTTAACGGCTGGTTCGTTTATTTATTGCAGTTAGATGTTGTATCAAATGTCTTTAAAACACAATTATGCATTCGTAATTCCATGATAGCTTTTTTTTTCACGCCGATTATTAGAGAAAAGGAAAAAAAAAGAAATAAAACAAGAAAGCTTTCAGCACAATCTGCACTAAACTGATTCGCAGTCATCTTCAACCGCGCTTCCTTTGTGGAAATTTTAAACATTTCACTTGTATCACTCAATAACGAGAAGCAGAATAATTTCGACACGACCCGTTTTTCCAACCCTATTTTTTTTTTTTTTTATCCGCACGATGCTGCTCTCCGCGCACGAAAGCAGCGGCAGCTATGCTTCGCCTCAATATTGGTATATGTGCAGAGAAGCCAGCTTTCCGTAATTTATGACTGGCTCAAAGTTGCAAGGCGCCGACTCTGCAATGTTCTTTCATGAATTAGCAGCGCTCAGTATTTTCCTAATAAACTGCGAAAGCTTGCTAGATACTTGATTTATTTTAGTGGTGTCTTATGTTTTTTTTCAGAATATAAATGTTGTGGCGGTGCCTCCACAACGTCATTACTTAGCGCGTTGAGTAGCCAGACAGTTCTACTGTCTAACAAAGCATAAGCACCAGGTTAAACCAATGTGCGTGTATTATCGTTCTACCAAGCGCAAAATTTCGCTGTGATTTACTCGTAGTGTACTTACAGTTGGCTGTAGGCAAAGAAAAACAAAAGGACGCAATTGAGCATGTCGGTGACCTCACGACAATTCTACAAATAAGCACATGCATTATAGATACTGCTTAGTAATCCGATGAATATGTCCTTAGATTACCTGAGCAGCTGAAGAAAGCGTATGGACGAAATAAACTACACGGGCTGTCTCCATTGCTACTGCGCTAAGCCGCAGCTTGCGGTAAACATCGTCATTTCGGCAAGACGAAACGGTCACAAGTGATGGACGTAAGATAAGACGGTGCATTTATCGACAGAAGTGAACAATAGCTGCGCCTGACAAGTCGCCCTGACGAAACTTTTTGTCTAGGCTGTTCGTTTCTCGACCTCACTTGATATCCACTTCCTCAAATTACGCTATACCTCTTGATGAAGCGTACAGCTATATGTCTGGTAGTAAGCTTCAGAAAATAATCTGTACTATGTTTATTCCACTGAATACAAAAGGGCAACAGAAAGCAAAATATCACAACTCATAAAATAGTCTATAAATAAGACAGCAGACAATGAGAAGGGAGGAGCGCTGTGTACGACACCATGCACACAAACTAAACCAAATAAATGAGCATTGTAAACCTCGCCACCCCCATTTCGTGAATATTTTACAATGAAAACACCATTAACACATCCTTATTCTAGATTTTACTCTAAGTGTACGTGTTATCATAGAAAAGTCCATTCTCACTTCCTTGTATACTCTGGGAGCGATAGGGGGGGGGGGGGGTTCGCTGAGGGACATATGCTCACACTAGTAAGTTCGATGAATTGGCAGGGTGTAATAGTATCCCTTGGGTTGTTGCACCTACTATTTGCTATGAAAAGCGCTGACACATACTACAATTGCTTAGACGTTGGTCAATAAAGCTCTGCACGGACCACAAGAGGCTACGTTCGGTTGGGCCAACACTGGAAAACGGAAACGTGCTGTTTTTACGATGGCACTTACTTCTCGTGAAATATATTTTGGTAGGTGATGCCTAGTAGGCAGAGGAACCAGACCACGTACAGCTGCTTTTGGCCCCACGAGCTGTACTCGCGTAGCATCAGCCTACGACAAGATAGGATCAGGAGGATTACAAATGTGTATGAACAGATTACACATCCCTAAATAGCGCACACTGACATGAAATAAAATTACTGCTTTAAAGGATTCCTGAAACGTTTTCCCAAGCAATCGTCTGATGGCTTCATTAAAAAAAGTTCTTAGCCTCACAAATTGACTGCCGCAAAGTTCTTCACAATCCACCAAGTAGAATGGCATTCAGACATTTGCTGCCCGCTTCAATCACTTCCTCTGAAGCACTCGCTGGAATTAAATTTGGCTCCAATAGAGAACTCCGCGCACAAATCTTGTTGCTCACATAGAAATTCTCAATTGTACACATCTCCGCCTAGTACAGATCATGGATTAAAGTTTGCTGATATATTGTCAGGGTTAGCGGTTTCACTACTCTGACCTACTCTCACACAATTGTGTTGCAGTTAAGTAGTGGCCAGTCAAGTTAACGCAGGAACCCGTGAATCGAAGTGACGGCACGCCACATCTCACCAGGGTGTGTAGGCAGACGCGATGAAGATGTAGATGGCAGCACGGTCGCACCGGTGTAAGATCACTTTTAAGGTCCTGTGGAATAGGTCAAAATATGTGTACCGCATTACGACATAGTCGGAATCTATCTATCTATCTATCTATCTATCTATCTATCTATCTATCTATCTATCTATCTATCTATCTATCTATCTATCTATCTATCTATCTATCTATCTATCTATCTATCTATCTGTCTGTCTGTCTGCCTATCTGTCTGTCTGTCTGCCTGTCTATCTATCTATCTAGCTATCTATCTATCTATCTAATTATCTATCTATCCAATTATCTATCTATTTAATTATCTATCTATTTATTTATTTATTCATTTATTTATCTATCCATCTATCTATCTATTTATCTATCTATGTATCTATCTATTTATCTATCTATCTAAGACGTCGCATCGAAAAACTCGTTTGCTCGGTGATACGACTCGGTGATGCATTCTATAGTGCTCACCTGAGCTTTCCGAGGAAGTGCACGGAGTGAAAGAGCGACGAGGTGACGAACAGCACGACCAGGGCGATTCCGTACACCACGGCGGCCGTCATGTGCGCGGGGGTGTGGGCACGCTGGAGCAAGAACTTCAGAGCGAAGAAACTGGGCAGGATGCTCAGCTGCGCGTGACCGAATGTTTCAAAACACACAAGCTCAGTGCCACATAAAGGACGGTGAAGCGCGCAAAACACCCGGGTTTGGCGAGAAAGCTGAGGCATGTCGTTTTCACTGGCTTCACTGAGTCTTCACCCTACCGAGTCTTCACCAGCTCGGTAGGGTGAAGACTCGATATGTTCATTAACTAGCTCGGCTTTATAGGTCGTAGTACAGACTTAGTAGCCGAGTCACAATTGCATGCGTGAAAAACGGAAACTATGGGTAACTGAGAGAAACGTGCAACGGGCAGTTTTTACTCTCGCTTAAAAGACACGTTATTCCATGAACATATTCAAGGGCAGCGCCTTGGTTTTCTTTACTTGGGAGGGGGGCGGGGCACCCACGACAAGACAGCCCCTGCGGAGAGAGGGCGCAGCTGAGGCGCCGAACGTGTGCGTTGTATCTTACTAGTTGTTCTTGGAAAGGGGGCAAACGGGGCGACAGAGCAGGTTGAAGTTTTCAGGATATGGCCACCCCGGCACGTATTCCACTTAATATTGCGGCATATCCTTAAGCTGTTCTATTCAAGGAACGATCGAACTGTCACCATCCTACACCCTCCCTCCCTGCATGCCCACACTGACCGCGTGCGTGATGATGTTGGCCACGTGTTCCAGCTCCGTCGGCACGTACGGCTCGTTCCCGATCGGCCGGGGATTCATCAGTCTGCAACGGGAAATGATTGGAGGTAATAAGACATTATGACAGGTAGATTGCCACTATCCCCCAAGAGAAAGGTATATAACGGCTGTATCTTGCCGGTACCTAGCTACGGAGCAGAAACCTGGAGACTTACAAAGAGGGTTCAGCTTAAATTGAGGACGACACAGCGAGCAATGGAAAGAAAAATGGTAGGTATAACCTTAAGAGACAAGAAGAGAGCAGAGTGGATTAGGGAACAAACGGGGGTTAAGGATATCATAGCTGAAATCAAGAAGAAATGGACATGGGCCGGGCATGTAGCGCGTAGACAGGATAACCGCTGGTCGTTAAGGGTAACTAGCTGGATTCCCAGAGAAGGCAAGCGGGTTAGGGGGAGACAGAAGGTTAGGTGGGCAGATGAGTTTGCGGGTATAAATTGGCAGCAGCAAGCACAGGACCGGGTTAACTGGCGGAACATGGGAGAGGCCTTTGTCCTGCAGTGGACGTAGTCAGGCTGATGATGATGATGATGATGATGATGATGATGATGATGATGATGATGATGATGATGGTGATGGTGATGATGATGATGATGATGAGTAAGACATGTGTGGACAAGTGTGCAAAAGTGTCTCCTGCGCTGCAACTGTGGCATAGAGTTTCATACTATATATATGATGGACGATCACAATGATGGATCCACGGGAGACGACTCGTGGAGTCGTGCCCCGTGGACACGCAGCAAGAGACGTCTGTCGCTGCACGCCGCCACCCCTAAAGAGAGTCCCTACTATTTCCCGTGCGCTGGCTTAGCCTCTCCGTCACCTGCAGCGCAGCGGCACCACTGGCACTACCGCGCTAACCCTGACCCGCGCAAGCGTTGCATCCCATCTCAATCGGCGGCTGTTCAGCCTAATTGCGACTAGTCCGCGAAGCACAAGTGACCCTACAAGAGGTGATAGCGCCCGCTCAAAGCAAACCGGATAACTAATGCTAGGCTTCTCAAAGTATAAGTGAACCAGATTATAACAAAGAGTCGAAGGGGCTTTGTCACCACCGTCACAATTTAGAAAGGACGCCAATGGATATGATCGTTGTCACCATATACTGTAATGTATAGGGTCAAGTATGGTGGTTTAGTAACCATCTGTGCTACTGTTCGCACTTATTTGTCCTCTTCTGATTGGCCGTAGGCCGGCTAAGCGGCTTCTCTGATTGGGTCAAATTGCTTCCCTTACAGGATCTTACAATACGTCAGAATTATGTGATGTCCGCGAAACAGTATCCTTACGTGGCAACGATAAATACTCTTTCAGCTGCATCTAGTGGACTTTGTGCCTTTTGCAAAATTACCGCTTCTCGGTATACAAAAAAAGGCAGACAGAGGTTTATGGAAACGTTCGCTTGCGTCGCACTAGGGATCGTCGCACAAGCAATGGTCACTGTACCCAAACTTCGACAGGGACACTATTGTTTTGGTCAGAAAAGTGCGCCTTAGGAAGTAAAGTCTAATTCTGGAAACGTTGACTCCAGTGACGTTCCTTGTTGATGATTTCCCTTCTAATTACCCACTGTATATCATTTCAATCATAGATCGTGTCGGGTATGACGCAATATATTTGTGGACAGCTATGTCCTTGTGTTCCTCGAGAAAAAAAAAATGCCCCTACATCCCAGATGGGAATCGCGAGGAAAGACGACTGCATTTCTTGCACCGAGAGCACACGGCACAGTAATTTTAATGGCTCTGGTTGCTATATGGGTGAGGATAAGCGCACGCGCCCGCAGCTGTTGCAATGGGAGAGAGAGGTGGACGTATCCCGACGGACGCCTGACATAGCCCGACTAAGAAATGCATTCGCATTTAAAGTTGATTTATTAGTAGATTGATGGATGAATGGGTGGAAAGGTAGGTGAGTGAATGGTTAAATGGGTGAGTGGCTGGACGGAGGGACGGGTGGGCGGATGGACGTAGGGACGGAGGGAAAGGGTCGAAGCTAGGCACACAAAGGATTGGATAGGTAGATGAATGGATAATCAGGGGCAGCAACCTGAAATGCTATTAGCCCAATAATGATGGTTTGACGTCTGGAAAAATAAAAAGCATGATAAATCATATAGCAAGAATTATTGAAGTGTTATAAAGAACACACATTTGACAAAGCAATGAACCTTAACCATTATACGCGTATGTCGTGTAAACAGCGCCATCTCAACGCTGGCGTTCTCTATAAAGTTTTTGTTACTAACTCTATGAACGACAGCACACTGGACATGGCGTGTTCGGGCCAAGCTGTGCTCCTTCTGCAACCGAACAATGTCCAAAAAAATACGGAAAAAGTGTGACTGTTGGCAAAGACCCAAAAAGAAAACGGTTTGTCAAAATTTAAGGGTAATTCCATTTTTTTTGCAAAATAAAACAAGAATGAGAAATATACGAAGCCCACCTGAGTCTTCGAACGCTCCTCTGCTCCTCACCTATACCCGATTTCTTTCGTGTCACACACATCGCCGACCGTGCGTCTCGACGTGCACACACCTTGCCGTGCAATGCTCCGTCTGCGGAACGGAACGGGCCGCGAAAGCGAAAGAAGTGCCTGGATCACGTGCCTAGCCAAGTCGAGCCATATTTGGTTTGCCGTTGTCAGACGATCCACGCTAAAGCTCACTTTATCCACGCTACCGCCACAAAGGCCGGAAAAGTGTGGGAGGCCATGACAATGCACTATATATATATATATATATATATATATATATATATATATATATATATATATATATATATATATATATATATATATATATATATATATATATATATATATATGCGCGTGTGTGTGTGTGTGTCGGCCGATGAAAACGTGATCGCGAAGTCTCAGCGCGGTGTAATGTGTATGAAAGGCAGGAAGAAGCTCTCGTGTTTGGCCGACACTACGTGGGGAAGAGAGAAGGAAACTGCTTCCCCTGAAGACTATCGCTTGCCAAGGCTGGGCTTCGTGACGTAATTCTCCATCCTGCAGGTCATTTGCAACTCCGTGGCCGCTATAGAATGGACGACAGTCATTGGAGGAGGGGAAACGAGTGTGAAGGGAGGCGTCACGCGATTTCCGTTAGGCCTAGCTCAGCAAGTCTGACGACGCCCCTCCCACTTTCCTCGGCCCAGCACGCACTGGCTCCTGGGTGGGATAGGGCCTTCACAGCGGCCACAACAGACTTAGCCAAAGCAAGCCGACCAGCAGTTACCCTTGCCGGAAGATCAGAGGCTGTGGACACTGTCGAATTCCGCCATATTGTGATATTCTGTAAACCAATCGGAGAGCAGACCTGTGAGCCAATCAGGGTTGGAAAATGGCGGAATTCGAAAGCCTCCAGAATAGCAATCAGGGACAATTTATCTGTTTTTTTTTCTACGATTAGGCTTCGGGTTTGTTACGTGACCGTTCATCCCACTTGTTTTTATGCATCCGTGATAACGATGCTGGAATAAAAGAGCCGGACACTCTTATTTCTCTCATCTGTCATAAAGATGAAGGAATAAAATAATTCGGCCCTCTGACGTGATTGCCACTTCGGAGCGCACGCCCTTTGCAGACAAGGCTGGGACAGCACAGCCGAAAAAGTTGACTCAGCCAATGCGGTGGGTCTGTGATATGTGACATGCTAGTGCGATAGTGCGAGCAGTATGGCTTCACAGATAGCTTTCTAAAGCGCGGCTTAATGATGTCCCGCTCTAATAATGACTATTAAATGCCCCAAAACCACAATATAATCACAGTTCTTCAGTTTGCTCTGTATCTTTGTGTTCTACTGTTCTATTTGTACAATATTCTTCTCATCTGTTTGTTCATTTCTCCTGCTCTAAATGCACTATACTTCTTAAAAGCTTGAATTCCGAAACTGATGCCATGTACGTGAGCCGTCTGGTATTCTCAAGTGGTTTTTATAACCGCTTTTCGCTCGAGGGACCCGCAACTTGTTGAAAAAAGAAAGCACGTTGGAAATAAAGATTGATTTGATTTGATTTTAGAATTGTGAGAGTCGACGTAGTGGAGGGCTCCAGAACTTTTGGCTACCTGATGTTCTTTAACATAACCTAAATCTAAGTTTACGGGCCTCAATCACTTTCTCCCCATCGAAAGTTGATATCTCCTAGTTATTTTCTTACTCCACGAACGTTAACAACGAAAAAAAAAAGACAAAGCCAAGCGAAGCCCAACTCTTTGGGCAGTTGTCAAACGATGCACGCTGCAAACGGAAGCATGAGAACATCTGACACAGAGCGGCGAAGTTATCAATGCAAAAACAAACCAAAAGGGCTCTTCATTAAGAGGAAGTTGTCTCCATTGCGGCACCGCGTACACAACCGCTCGCAGCGACACCTAGCGCGTTTGGTGTCGCGTTGCCCGCCGTCAGCGCCGCGGTGGCGCGATCGTCTCGAGTGTCGCGTACTGTTGCATAACTACTGCTACGCTGCGTGCGAAGGCCTGCGGCGCGGTGTCACCTGTCTCTCGTAGCTGTTTGTGCGTCCTGCCTCGTGGAGAACGAAAAGGAGATGGGCTCATTACTTTGCTTTGTTCTGTTCCTTATGTGTATCCGTGACATCCGCACACGCCGACCACATCGCCTCGGATGTCGCACACGTGACGTGGCGAGACTTTCCACGGGATATCACGGAGGTGGATCACTTGTCTCGCTAGGTGGCGCCAGTAGAATTCTTAGAAACCAGGACACTCGTTCAACGAGGACTGAGTGAACAGCGCGCGGAGTCGCAGCGGTGTGATGGCCATGCCCACCTCTTTTCGGTTTCTCGTTTTTCGGGCAGTATAGGCATCGTGAAATCGACGCCACGTTATGTCAGCGACTGGCACTTTTTTTTTTAATTTTACGATTTCTGGCAGAGTTATTGCGAAGCAACTGCTAATATTACCTCTTTAGATTCCGAAGGTATGGCGAAGCAACCGCGATTAAGGCACACATCAAAGAATAAAAAAAACGAGTCGTCACAACACTTGACGAATTCAAACTCCACTTGATGACCCACATGTATAGGGAAAACATGTTTCTTTTTATGTGATTCTTAAAGAGAAAAGAAAAGAAAAGTGAGCCCCGTAACTGTCTGCTTCAGAGTGCGACACCTCAACAGTAGCTCACAAGAGATGGGGTAAGGAAGGATTAAAAGGATAGGATTAAAGGTATAAAGATAGAGAGAGGAAGGAGAGAACGAGGCGCAGGGACAGCGAATGACAGAAAACGACGGAAGTAAAGATGAGATGGGAAAGATGGACACGGTCACTGGAGTCCGAGTACGGGGCACCACTCAGCGAGAGCTCTTGTTGGCGGCAGGATATGGCATAGGGCGACCTAGTCGGCTGGAGTTGCGCTGTCGTCGGAGATCGCGGGGGCACAAACGGTCGGGACGAATTCCAGAGAGCGAGTCCCCCGAAAATATGTTGCTAATAAAATCCCACAATATATTGAGTCACGTGTTGCAACGCCAGCTAACGTGTCTGAGACACTTTATACCTGTTCATTCAACCTTAGGTTTCATTAAGTAAGTTCATGATGACGCAGATGTTTTGCTTCAACTATTCCTCTACGTGCAATTGAAATGAAACTACTTAGCAGACATTATATTCTTCAGTGGCCTGAATAACGTATGTCTGCTTGTTAAGAGCTAAATCGCAGCGAATACCCGACGCAAGAAATAGACGGCACACCAGCACCGGATGTTTTCCCTTTTGGAGAGAAATCTACCCTACGCTGTCTCCCAGTGCCATTCATCGTGTCGCATTGACCTTGAGCCACCGGAGCGCAAGTTTCGCTCACTGGTGTCGCGCCACGTGATTTGCGGCGGAGGTGCGTTGTAGCTGCTCTCACTCAGAGGCTCGCCGCTGCAGGAGGGGCCACGTGACCAGGCGTAATGAAACACTGTGTGCAGAGCCTTTGCAACACCAAGGCAACCGTACATTTCCCTCGTGGTAACAAGGTATCATCATCATCATCATCATCATCATCATCATCATCATCTTCTTCTTCTTCTTCTTCTTCTTCTTCTTCTTCTTCTTCTTCTTCTTCTTCTTCTTCTTCTTCTTCTTCTTCTTCTTCAGCCTGACTACGTCCACTGCAGGACAAAGGCCTCTCCCATGTTCCGCCAGTCAACCCGGTCCTGCGCTGGCGGCTGCCAATTTATACCCGAAAACTTATTAATCTCATCTGCCCACCTGATTGATTGATTGATTTGTGGGGTTTAACGTCCCGAAAACCATCATATGATTATAAGAGACGCCGTAGTGGAGGGCTGCGGAAATTTCAACCACCTGGGGTTCTTTAACGTGCACCCAATTCTTCATCTGCACACCTAACCTTCTGTCTCCCCATAACCCGCATGCCTTCTCTGGGAATCCAGTTAGTTACCCTTAATGACCAGTGGTTATCCTGTCTACGTGCTACATGCCCGGCCCATGTCCATTTCGTCTTCCTCATTTCAACTATAGTATCCTTAACCCTGGTTTGTTCTCTAATCCACTCTACTCTCGTCTTGTCTCCCACATGCAACAAGATATAAAAAAGTTAAAACTCAGCCAATGCTTTGCCTTCCTCTGAGTTGCGCTGGGTAACTGAAGAAATATGTACAGCGTGTCGAAGATGTGCGCATGGCTTCTAACCTCGGTATTGCCATACAATCGGGCTTATTTTGAAGGCGGTGGCGCATGCTGCAGGTGTCGTCGTGAAGACGAACTACCCAGGGACGTCATGGGTAACGCTGGTTCGTAGTATAACACAGTATCAAGGGTTTTACGTCCCGAAACCACACTATTATTATGATGGACGACGCTGTTTTGAGGCTTCAGTCAGGGAAGGGGATTCCCTGCGGCAGTTATCTAGGCAAGAAGGTCAAATGAATCTCTGAAGAAGTCAGTTTCATTATAATCGAGTGTACGTCAAAGGAAAACCAGCCTGGAACGACCAGAATACACAACTCATTTACGAGTATCACATAAGTTTCGCTGGCTTTCAATTGAATTTCTTATATACTAGGCGCAACTGAGCATCATAGCTGCGTTTTTTTTTTTTGCTTGCTAGGGAATCAGTCTGGAATACCATGATCTGTACGTCAAACACCCAGCTTGCGAGCTGGCTACACCACTTGCAGGTCTCACGAAAGACGACTCACCATAGAATATATTTGACAATATATCGGGCCTAATGTGTGTAAGGAAGACTGTATGTTGATAGATCCTTTATAGAGTACAAGAAAGTGGAGCGATGGGCGCCAAGTGTTGAACTCACCTTGAGAAGTCCCTTATGCCGAAGCGGAACCGTGCCACGGTGCCGTTCACTCCTGCGGCGGTCGCCATTTGTGGTGCACGTCATCTGCGAATGCACCAATCACAAGTGTAGATCCAGAAAGGCGACGACAAAAGTGCGCGCATTCATGTACGCGCAGTAGTGGACAATATGAAAGATAACACTCAAACAAGCTTCAGGAGTCCACAGTAAATAAACGGAGTTGTCAAGCACAAAAAGCTTCCAGAGCGCCGAATCTCCATGCGGAAAGGTACCTTTTACAAATTCCTACGTCAGATTTGTTTTCCCAAATTACGAGAAATCGCTGCCTAAACGCTAATGGTGCATTAAGACGACGGATCGAATCCCGATGTGGCGGGACGGACGGCGCGTCACGTGACCTCACATCAGCGATTCCCCTCGTCCGCGACTTGTCCGCGCGGCTCGCGGACGGATGAACCCAACCTGTTTCTCACATCGGGATTCTGGCGGGGGAGAGCCGGTACTTCAGCGGAATAGCTTGGGGTCGGTGGCAACCAGTACACTTTTCGTCTGCTCGCGGCATGTCCTCCGTGGCTCGCGGACAGCTGCATGACTGGTCGGCATCATCTACGCTTGAGCATTGTTTACTTAGTTTCCGGAGACTTTGTTCTCAGGTGATTAAATATGCAGAAATCACTTTTGGTGGTTCGGGAAATGTCGCCGCCGTCGCTTAACACGCGAGATTCTTAGCCGTCATGGTGGTGAAATATTCCAACTTCTTCAGGCGGCGACGTGCCGCTTCTAAAAAAAAAAGGCGGGAGACGCGTTTAGAAGTTCTACAAGTGAGGAATAATGTAGTTGAAAGAATATCCTGCTAGCAACTCCCTTTTCTCCTGAAAGAATAACACTACTCGTTCATTTGTCACAACACGACAGACATCGCAGCCAAGCTTCGCTTCTTGCGGGCATCCATGTTGAATACTCTCAAACCGGTCTGCTGCCAGCGGGCGCAGGTAAGCGCCGAATCTGCTGTCGAGGGTAATCCAGCTGTATTCCCCTAGGACACCGTCCCTCGTGTGGATGCGCCTGCAGGCGGACCATCCGCGGATTAGCTGTCCGCGTCCACGACAAATCCGGATTCAGTCCGTCATCTGAATGCACCATAACTGGATGTTCCTAAGTTGGTGGTATCCACGGCTGCACATTACGACCACCCATTCATGATTTCGGCCCACTAGTTGGATCAGTTTCCGAAAAAAAAAATCTGTGTGAGTGGACGGATCGACAAGTAAGGTAATTGATCGTGCAGTCAGCCGAAATGCAGATTAAGTATCTTTAGGAAACTGAACATTTGCATGGATTGCGATCATTGCAATCGCTGAAAGCCGAGGTTAGAAATAAGTCCACATATGTTCAGGGGAAGGGGATTATTTATAAACTCTAGTGGTCTCAGCCAGTGCCACCTGTATACATGGCGGCCGAATGTGGAGCTTTCTTTTATGATCGATGGCGTCACTTACTATATGTGAACCTTCGTAGTACGTGAACTTTCACCTTTAGGGGTGAAGCACCTTATAAGGGTGAGGCTTGTCCGGGGTCCTTTGTCACGGTCTCATTATATGAGACCAAACTCGGCTAACTTACTGTATAGTCGAAACATGCGTCAGACACAAAAAAATGTTTAAAAATGCACTAATATCAATAATAATTGCGGCTGCACATTGTAAACCTTTTATCAGAACAAACTTTTTTTACTAATCGCTGACTTCAAAGTGTACATTATGGACCTCAAGACCTAGCCTCGCCAGCTCGCCGTGATTCATTTTGTGGAGATGCTTAAATTTTTGCTTAATTAGGGGGGAGGTGCGCTCTGGCTGATAAACTTTCGTGTGCCATTTATAAGCGTGGCGTATGCATACCGGAATTTATACCTTTACTATGAAAAGAACGAAGCTAAATGAATTAAATGTATACAAGCCCGTAACGTTCAGTGGCACAGTAGCCTCTTTTGACATCGCAGCTTTTTTTTTTTTTCGAGCCGGTCTTAAAGACTGTGGTGTCCACAGATGACCGCAAGTAGAGGGCACCTGCCCCACTATACCTACGCGAGTAAGACGAGTGGGACAGTTTTACGAAACTTCTGCGCGGTGTTGTGGTGCACGTGAAAGAGAGAAAACAAGAGAGAGATAAAGATAGAAAGAACGTGATAAAAAAAGAGAGAAACACAGAGAGGAGCAAATGAAATTAAGATATGAAAAGATATACCGACAGGAAGAGTGAGAAGGTAATACCAAAAAGAGACGATACTGAGATTGAATGAGATACTAAAACAAAAATAGAGAGAAACAGAGATAAAGAAAGAAGCCGAGAGAGAGAGAAGAAGATGAAAAAAACTTAGGACAAGACATAAATAGAAAGGCAAATAGAAATAAAGGTAAATATCAAAATGAAGAAGAACAAGTGAGTGAAAGAGTGTGCTCGAGAGAGGGGGGAAAGAGATATACAGATTGAAAGAAAAGAAATAGGCAGAGATAGAAAGGAAACAAAAAACCAAAAAATAAATATTAAAAAATAAGAGACCAGAAACAGAAAGAATAAAAGAAAACAAAGAAAAAATGACAAAGAGAGAGAGAGAGAGACCCAGCCCTGCACCTTTTTTTTTTTGGGCTTGGCAACACTCGCGTTAGACTGCCATTGTTACTTTTCTTTTTGTTCCCTCGGGTGGCTGCTTTTAATCAGCATTTGGAGCATGAACGCAAAGCTATGAAAGAACCAAAAAAAAAAAAAAAGATTGTGCGCCCATGAGCCAACCTCGGGGACCTGCGTCACTTCAAAGAAACGAAACGACTATAACAAAATATGCCTTCGCCAACAGGGAAGTGTGAGACGCGCGTCGTCCCGGAAATTAACGCAACATCCGGTTCTTCCGAGCGCAAGCGTGGACGGATGAAGCAGCGGCTTCCTTTGACGGCTTCACACTCGGCCCAAACAGCTCGGGAGATATCTGGTACACCCCGGACGAGCACTGCACGGGTGCGTTGAAGCTACTGACCGCGTGCGCTATTCTTGAAAGGCGGGGTTTATTTATTTATTTATTTATTTATTTATTTATTTATTTATTTATTTATTTATTTATTTATTTATTTATTTATTTATTTATTTATTCATTCATTCTACTTGCAGCGCCAACAAGGCATTACAGCAGGGGTGTATATGCAAATACATGAATACGATTCATCATATGGGAAAAAAAAAGAAAAGGAAAAAGAGAACTGACATGAGAATAAGTGGTACAAATCTGCACAATAGCGCGTCAAATGTGCAAGCAGTGCCACAATGAAAAATTTACATGTGCGACAAAAACGTGTGAAACAGAGCATCAGATGTACAATTAACAATATTACCTGGTAGTTTATTCCAGGCCTCAATGGAATGGGGAAAGAAAGAACCCTTGTGCACATCAGTACGGCAATCAATTTCACGAATTTTTCATTCATGGTCGCGTCGCTTAGATACAAAGTGCGGGGTTAGTAAGAAAATTTTAGGATCAAGACCAGTCTTATTGAAATAAATACGATATAGTAGTTCAAGTTTGTGATGCAACCGACGTTTACTTAGTGTTTCCCAGCCCAACCCTGATTTAAGTAATGTAATGCTAGTGCGAAAACTATAATTTTTAGTTACAAATCGGGCGGCGCGGTTTTGGACGCGTTCTAGCAGTGTACATAAATTTTCAAATTGTGGGTCCCACACGGCGCAGGCGTACTCCGTAATGGATCTTACGTTGGTGAAATATAAAAGTTCTTTAACTCTTGGAGGAGCGTCACTGAAGTTGCGTTTTAGAAAGTTGAGCATGCGGGAAGCAGAAAAGGACACGTGTTCAAAAGGACACGGTTCAAGGTCACAAACGCCAAACAAACAAAAAAAAGAAGGTACAGAAAGACCTTTTGTTTGTATCCTCGCGCCGAGTATTTCAAGTTGCTGATCTCCAAATGGCGCCACACAGCGTAGTTTTAAACGGCGTTCTTCTTTCTTTTCTGTTTGCAGTCACTTAATGATCTGATCTTTTATTTGTGTTCGTATATTATTTACCTTTATGCTGTTTATTATTTACACATACGGCAGGTGCTGGCCGGGCCCATGTAGGAGCCTATATGCAAATAACACAAACGGAAAATAGAGTTGAACGGACTTAACAGTCTAGCTCAGTTGTGAATGATGAATACATTAGTGAACGAAGAAAGGATATTTTCAGGGCTCGATCGCACAACCTTAATGAAAAACAAGCACATAATAAAACCAATAAAAGTATAGAGGACGTTAACTGCACTGGCCCCGCCACGGTGGTCTAGTGGCTAAGCTACTCGGCTGCTGACCCGCAGGTCGCGGGATCAAATCCCGGCTGTGGCGGCTGCATTTCCGATGGAGGCGGAAATGTTGTAGGCCCGTGTACTCAGATTTGGGTGCACGCTAAAGAACCCCAGGTGGTCAAAATTTCCGGAGCCCTCCACTACGGCGTCTCTCATAATCATATGGTGGTTTTGAGACGTTAAAACCCACAAATCAATCAATCGTTAACTGCACTGTTTTAGGTGGATTGCAGTAATTGCGATACAGATGTGAAAAGAGTAAAGCGGTCGTAAAGGCAACTTCGGGCAGCAATGGGACCTTCGTATCCGAAGCTTTTCAGTGACGTTGTGTCAAATACGTTAGTGGAAAGACGTAGCAATGCACTACGCCTAAATGGTTGGTGAATACTAGAGAATATCATTCTACATACTAGAGGATACCATTCTGATTCTTGTTTGGTGATTTAAAACCGTTACTGTAACTTGTTTTTACTGTTAATATGCTTTCTCACCAACAGCCTGATTCTCACCTGTATATAGTTACAACTTGTACTGTTATTTGTTAGCTAAGATTGTATTTACAGAAAAAAGCTTGTATTCTGTTTTTCTTTTACTGTACCACTTCCCTCTATAATGCCTCTGGCCCTGGGGGTAATTCCAAATAAATAAATTAAATTATTAAATAAATAAATAAATAATCAACGTATCAAAGTTCATGTCGTATTTTGTCAAAGCAGGACACTTTGGTAGTTAGTA